CTTCGAGAGGCTGATGATCTGATTCAACTATAATTTGCTTGCCATAGATATACTGATAGAAACGATTGCACCCGAACACGACTGCCAAAAGTTTTTTTTCTATCTGAGCATATCTAGTCTCAGCCGGTGTTAGAGATCTCGAGGCATATGCAACTGGCATGTTCGATTGGGTAAGTACCGCTCCCAACCCGGATTTTGAGGTGTCGACCTGAAGCTTTACTGGTTTTGTCACATCATAGTAGGTTAAGATTCCAGGCTCTGTATTTGTAAGAATGGTTTTGATCTTTTCGAAAGCACTTGCATGTCTTTCTAACCAATGCCACAACACATCATTCTTGAGCAATTCTCGCAGTGGTGACGTGATTTCTGACAGGTTCGGTACGAATTTACCCACGTAATTCACCATACCGAGAAGCCTTTGAACTCCCTTCTTGTCATGTGGTTCTGGCATGTTCACGATTGCTTCTATTTTCTGTGGATCAGGTTTGATTCCTTCCGATGTAAGCTTATGTCCGATGTAAACAACACTCGTGGACCTGAAGTGGCACTTCTCTAACTTGAACTTTAGATTGCATTCTCTTGCTCTTTCCAACGTTGCCTTTAGGCGCTCGTCGTGTTCTTGAAGTGTTCTTCCCCACACGAGAATGTCGTCAATATCAGTCTCCACTCCACGAATATCTTCGAATATTTCGTGTACTCGTTTGTGAAATACTTCCTGGGCACTTCGGATTCCAAATGGCATGCGGGTAAAACGGAAACGACCAAATGGCGTGTTGAAAGTTGTGAGTTTGGAACTTTCTTTGTCGAGGGGTATCTGCCAATAACCCGATCTTGCATCTAACGTGGAAAAATACCGTGCCCCTGGCATTCGAGCTGTAATTTCTTCGATTGTTGGAAGTTGATAGTGCTCTCTTTTCAACGCCCGATTTAGATCTTTAGGATTGATGCAGATACGCAGACTTCCATCTTTTTTTCTGGACCACTACCATTGACCATCGACCTTTTGCAAAACGCCTTGTTTCACCATATCTTCTATGGTTTCAGCTAGTTGATCTCTCAGAGGGTGTGGAACTTTGCGTGGCGGATGTATGACCGGGGTCTGCCATGGGATCTACTTCCATATGATACGGTCTAGAGAGACAGCCTAATCCAGAAAATACATCAGCATATTCTTTTCGAATTTGTTTTGAGTATTCCTCTTCTGAAACTTGCTCTGTTGTCATTGAAAAACTACCGTCTACCAATTCTGATTTCAATTCCTGAGTAAATTTGATGAGGTTTAATTCTTTGCAGGCTGCTATGCTGAGTACTGGTTCACTGGGTGATTCGGATATGTAGAACTCCAGATCATACTCTTCTCCTCGATACTTGCACTGCAAATTACACACAGCTTTCACGGGGACTGGCTTGCCGTTGTACGCAACGAGATTAACTGTTGGTTTTCTAAGCTGTATTCTTGTGGTGGTCGCTAGGGCTTTGTAAGTTTCGATTGGAATAACGTTCACTTCTGCCCCAGTGTATAATTTTAACTCAACTTCAGTGTTGTTCACCGACAGGGTCGCATATTCTGCTTGATTTTGACTTTGTGTTTTTGTCTCGTCTACGGCGGCTGTTATTGTGTCAAGAAATAGAAAATCATCGCCGGTTTCATCAGGTTTTGAATATTTTGTCTCGATTGCATCTAATTTTCCGCTTGAGCGACACATCTTTGCATAGTGATTGAATTTCTTGCATTTGTTGCACTGTCGACCAAACGCTGGGCACTTTTGCTTCGGATGCTTATTTCCACAATTCGTACAAGTCTTCCAGGTTTTGCTTTCATCTCGATCTTGTCTTGGCTTTCTAGCTTCTGGGTTGTTTTTCGGGATATATTTCCGTCGCGGTTGACGTGTTTTGTTAATTGCCCCGACTTCTTTATCGTTGTTGAATAGCTTTAATTGTTGTAATGATAATTCGTCTGCTTGACATATTTCAATCGCTCGTGTAAGCTTTAATTTGGGTTCTCGAAGAAGCCTTTCTCTGACTCTAGTCGAAACGATCCCGCTTACGATTCTACTGCAGATTAAATCGTCCTTAATGTCGCCCCACTCACAGCTTGTAGCCAGAGTCTTGAGTTCAGTCACATATTGGTCGATTGTCTCAGACTGTTCTTGATTTCTCGTTAGAAATCGATGTCGCTCAACGATTAGATTTTTCCTTGGTTTGCAGTACTGCTCGAACTTCTGAATTAGTATTTCCACTGTCACGATTTCTTCACCGTCTTTGTCTTCATCAAGTTCGAATGTATCTCTGATGTCTTGTCCTTGTCTGCCAATCATGCACATAAAAATAGCGACTTTCTCGTCTTCGCTTCTGTCCTTGCATGTCGCGACTAGATAATACTGCATACTTCTTCCATTTTGCCCAAGCTTCAGACAAGTTGGTCGATTCAAAGTTGAGCTCGCCTGGCCCTCGTATATCGTTCATCTTGTTGCTGAAAATTCGGCCACACCTGACACCATGTTATGTTATATGTTATATATTTGAAGTGTAGTACTAAACTAAATGTACAGGCTACAGACTAGTGTTTATATATGCTGATTAACATAATAACTATAGTGCATATTAACATGAATATATTACACAAGAAACCAGCGATATCAGTCTCAAGGTGTAGGTAAAGAAGAAACCAACTTAAGGATACCTCGTCCAAAATTATTATAGATGTCAACACAACACTAAGGTTTGCAGCCCAACGAAAGACCCCCAGCAACGATTGAAGGTTGATCCAACAGCTATGGTGAAGAAAACTTTTGGTGAAGAAAATTGTCCATTTCACCTTGTCATCAAAATAGATTCATGTAATGTCTGCAGCATTGACCTGGGCTGGGAGCACAACCACTCAACTGATAATCTTGAAGCATCCAACTCCAAGGACTTGTGCACGGAAGTAATTGACAAGATAAAGAAATTGTATGAAGCTGGTCACACTCCTTCGACAGCAAGACAACAGTATCATGAAGACCTCCGAGTTATTTGTAAAGATGACATGGAATTTCATGTAAAGAAAGCTGATCGGTCATCAACGCTACAAAGAAGGGGCTTTCGTTATATTTATGAGCAGTTTGGGAAAGAAACATTTGGTGGAAAGCATGATGGGATGTTTCACAAACTTGTTGAAACCATGGAACAATATAAGGCTTGCAACCCAGAGGCAAGCGTAGATTACCAACTTTTCGGGGGTGAGTATTCCTCTACTTGTTGCCACAGTAACACCCTTGATTAAACAAGTCAACAAGCACATAAAACAAACTGGCGAGCTTGTATTTGTTGATGCAACATCAAACACTGAGGAGCACAATTTGAACGTTTTCCTTTCCAAAATGTATGCTGGAATTACACTATACTGGATTGATTTTCATACCGGATTAGTTTTCACTCCGAAGTATAAAACAAGGGTGTTTACACTATGCATGCCGCTTCGCTCTGTTGCCAGCTCGTGTCTCGCTGTCGGCATGGAAACAAGTAATATTTTTGGCCAGTACACTAAAATTTATTAAAAACAAGAAGTACGACTATGAATTACAACCCCGTAGATTCAGATACCCTCCATGACTTGTTCTCAGGAATCACCGATGAAACTAGCAACTTTGAAATAATTGAAAGGTCGGATATTACCACCCTATTGCCCGTTTGTAACAAGTTGAAGTCTTTGAACCCAAATAAAGCGTCCGGTCCTGATGGTATCTCTAATTGGGTTTTGAAAGAGTATGCTGAATTATTAGCCAACCCTATCTCAGATATGCTCAATGCCTCTTATAATGAAGAAAAGTTACCACCTGCCTGGAAACAAGGGAATGTTACCCCACTACCTAAGGAGAAATTGGTACATGATATTAATAAACACCTACGGCCATAATCGCTTACCCCTACGATTTCAAAAATGGCAGAAGAATTTTTGGTGGAACGTTATGTTGTCCCTACCATTTTGGAAGTTATCGATCACCACCAATTTGGCGGCATTCGGTGTTCCTCAGCAACACATCTTATTAGCATGATTAGCTCTTATTAGCATGATTCACACGTTAAGAGATGGGTAATTGATTGATTTAATGTTTCGACAGCAATGAGTAAAGCTGCTCGATGACTGCTTTTCGGACTGGAGTGACGTACGATCTGGGGTGCCCAAAGGCACCAAATTGGGGCCTTGGCTTTTTATCTTAATGATTAACAATTTGGATCCGCAGTCACTAGATAGATGGAAGTTTGTCGATGACACAACAATTTCTGAAACTGTTTCTAAAAATAGTGCAAGCAATATCCAAACCGCCGTTGATTACGTCCAAAACTGGTCTTCCGATAACCGCCTTAAACTTAATGAGCTTAAATGCAAGGAACTAGTTATTGATTTCAGTCGTGCTGTGAATATCTTTCAAAGAATAATTGTCAATGGAAATGAACTCCAATTAGTTTCACATGCCAAAATTTTGGGGTTGGTTATTAGGGACGACCTCAAGTGGAATGATCATGTTTACCACATTATGAAGAAAGTGAACAAACGCATATACTCTGTAGTCCAATTGAAGCGAGCGAAAGTCGCCATGTGTGATATAGCCCAATTCTATTTTTGTTCCATAGTTTTTATCAATGTAACTATCACTCAATTCAGCTCTCGAGCTGCTATGTGCATCTATCTATCTATCTATCTATCTAATATACTGTATGTTCTGCCATTGGACATCAGTGAAAAATTCCTAACCTTTTTACTGGCAAAAACACTTAATGTACTGGTGACATAGTGATCAACTTTGCTTAGCTTTTCACGACCTTTGCCTACTGTATATATGTTATAGCTAAGATAAAAGGTCATAAAATAACATGATTCGATTAGGGGACACACAGTATAATATATACATACTATATAGAGGTAGTGGCATACTATATAGAGGTAGTGGTGATTATGTTTATTATATGTTCCGTTTTATTGAAAGGTTTAATTACAGGCTTATTTTAGTTTAAAAACAGCATTTTCAAAGAGTTGACAATCGAAGATCCATTCACATCTTTTGAAAACCTATGTTGCAGTAAAACGCATGTACCTGCCACTTCTGCACAGTCAAGGTATTGCCAATTTGCCATTATGGCATTAGTAAAACATTTATAATTTGCACTTTCGCTTGTGGTTTCAATCGATCAAACTCGACCGAACCTCAACTTAACCATGACCTAACCACGACCTAACCTCAACCTAACCACACTGTTAGGTTATTTCTGGACAGTTAAATAATGAAACATGTCCCTATAGATAACATCCATGATATGTAACCCGTAACTGCTAATCCACCACTGCCTGCATGTAAAAAAGACATTCGAAGGTTGAATGGTACGGACGTGCTTAAACCACCTCCACAAATTTATCACTATGTGTTTGAAAATATCGTTAACAGTGGCCAGTCTGTTGGTATTTTTTCTTGCTGTGAAGAAATACTGGTATATTGGGGAGAGGATTTCATTAAGCGACCAACAACATCATCGTACAGCATGTTTACGAATAAAAGAGATTATTCTCGTTTCAATGGATTTACCGTGTGTAGAAAGAAACGCTATTATGGGTCTAGAGTTCCCTATTATAGCAATTTGCATGCATCTTTTCAGTTATTACGTTTGACGAGCTCTGGTGATATAAATCCAAATCCTGGCCCACAGCTAGGTGGCAGGAAATATTCATGCACAATTTGTGACAAAAAATTTGCGAGCGTTGAATAAATCGCGAAAAAGTACATTAAAAATTGTAAAATTGGTCGTATAAATCGAACAGTATTGCTGGTTTTAAACTTTATGAGATTAAACAGTGGCTGACACAAGGCTTATTTGATATACTTGTAATTACTGAAACTAAGGTGGATGAAACCTTTCCAAACAGTCATTTTCATGTTGACGGTTTTCGCTTTTGTAGACGTGATAAAAATATATAAAAATATACGAACATATTACACAACGGACAGATCAGCACACTGGAGTTGAGTTTCTGGCATGTAAGGTAAAAATAGGTAAAGAATGGATCATGGTATTTATAAACCACCGTCGTTAAAGCAATCCCAATGGAAATTAGAGCTTGAAAATATTTTTGAAATGGCTACAACCATAACAAACAATGCTATAATATTGGGAGATTTTAATTGCGATTTACTACAACCAGATAAGTCATCAGAAGATGGACGTATGCTCCTTGATTTAATGGATATTTTCCATCTAGTAAATTTAATAAGAAACCCAACACATGTCACTAGTACTTCTGGTACTTTTATTGATTTAATCCTAACTAACAATAAGAAAAAAATCTTGACATCAAGCGTGTTTGATGCACAAATTAGTGACCATGTACTTGTTTATACCATATTGAGATTGACAACTCCAAGGTTAAATTCACGGAAAGTATGTACTAGAAGCTATAAAAACTTTGACAAGTATGCTTTTCAGCGCGATCTACAGAATGCTCCGTTTCACATAATGGATACTTTTGATGAAGTTGATGATAAAGTATATGTGTTGGACACTTTATTATTCTGATATTATTAACGAGCATGCTCCCATAAAACAATTCCATTTAAGAGGAAATCAAGTGCCATTTATGAGTGAAAAATGGAGAAAAACCATTCGCTATAGAAACATGCTTTGGAAAAAATTTATGCGTGATCGCACTGATGAGCATTATGCGATATACAAAAAACAAAGAAATATATGTACTTCTTTGAGGCGTAAAGCAATAAAGGCATATTTTCACTCTAAAGTAGAAACATCGAAAAACCCTGGCGATTTTTGGAATGTTTGTTGGCCTTTCCTTCTTTCTAAAAAATCACAGCAAGCAAGTGATATTGTGTTACAAGAAGATGGCCATTTGGTTAAAGACAAAAGAACTATAGCACAATTATTTAATAGCTATTTCATTCATGCTGCAGATTCAGCACTTGAAATCAACGAGAGAGTTTTCGGAACAGATTTCAGTCTTCACCCAAGCATCCAGACTATATTGCAAAATAAAAATAAAGATGAATCATCTGAATTTAGTTTTCGTTGTGTAGACAAGGATCAAGTAGAGAAACTATGTTGAGTATTAAAATGAAAAAATCATGCGGACACGACCAAATATCACCGTGTCTACTACAAGACTCTGCAGCAATAATAGCTGAGCCAATTGCTAAAATAATAAATAGCTCAATTACCCTAGGCCAATATCCCTCTTGTTGGAAAATGGGTCAAGTGACGCCTTTATTCAAGAAAGAAAACAAGTTTAACAAAAAGAACTATAGACTAGTAAACTATTTTGCCCTCCTTTAACAATGTTTTCGAGAGAATCCTTGCTAATCAATTTGAAGACTTTTATGAGAATACATTGTTGGATCATATTTCTGCGTATAGGAAGAACTATAGTTGTGAAACATCCTTATTAAAGCTAACTGAAGACTGGCGCCAATCTCTAGACAACAAAGAAATTGTCACAGTTATATTGTTGGATTTGTCTAAGGCATTCGACTGTATACCTCATAATTTACTTTGGCAAAACTCAGGGCATATGGTGTTAGTGAACATTCTGTAAGTTTATTAAAGAGCTATCTGTTTAGTCGTAAGCAACGTGTGAAAATTGGCGACACATATTCAAGTTGGGAATTGGTAACAAGGGGAGTTCCACAAGATAGTGTCTTGGGGCCATGATTATTTAATATTCATATTAATGACTTGTTTTACAATGTAAGTCTTGGAATGCTTATGCAGATGATGAACAGTTGTACAACTCTGATTGTGATCCTGCAGTTCTGGAGAGTAAGCTTAATCATGAACTGAACATGACAAATACATGGTACAGCAATAATGGCATGATTGTAAATCCAGAAAAACATCAAGCAATGGTCCTCGGCAATTGTAATCACAAGTTTGCATTCCCTGTAAACGATTCAATTGAATTATTAGGAGTAACATTAGATAACGAATTGAAGTTTAACCGCCATATTACAACAATTTGTGACAAAGTTAACAATCAGTTCAGTGTGATAAAGAGGTTTGGAAAACTTTTTAGTAAGAAATTATTATTAAAACCTTATAAAGTATTTGTTTTACCACATTTTTGCTATTGCTCTCTTATTTGGCATTTTTGTGGAAAAAGGAATACTGAAAAATTAGAATCTTTAAATAGATGTATATTAAGATATATTTTTCAGGATAAGGAGTCTAGTTATGATGACTTGTTATCTCGAACAAATATTAGTACATTGTATAATGCTAGAATGT